TGATGACGATTATTATCATCTTTATCATTATTACCATTACGATGGTGATGATAATGATTATCGTCATTATCATCACCATCATTATCACTATTGTCATTATTATTCATTATTCTCTAACATTTCATACTTGAACTGACAGAGGAAAAAAGTGGGTTCCCGTCGACCAAGGAAAGGGTGGGTTATGACAACTTCTGCCCAGTGTCTTCATATTTCAACCATAAACCATCAAGGTATAATCTACTTGAAGCACTATCCTCCACCTGTTTCCATGGCTTCACGCCATGGAAAGAGATTAAAGAAATTAAGGAAAATAAAAGTAGTTGAGGTTATGATCATGGTCAAGATAATCATTATCATTACATAATTATATTAGCAATAACAATTATTATTATTATTGCTACTATGCTTATGATTATGATTATAATTATGATTATTATTACTATTATTATTATTATCATTACGATTATTGTTCTTTGTATTATCATTATTATCATCTGTATTATTATATTTTTGTTGTTACCATTATCATTATTATTATAATTATTGTTATTGTTAGTATTATCATCATCATTTATGTCATCATAGATTTGTTATTACCATTATGATTGTTATTACCATTGTCATTTTTATTATTATTATTACTATTACTATTGTCGTTATTTGCATTATTATTACTATTATTATTATTATATTATTATTATCAATATTACTATTTTCATTATTATTATTATTAGCATCATCATTATGGTTATCATTATCATCATTACTAGCAGGAAATGATAATGATAATGGTAATGATAATGTTAATAATAATAATAATGATAATAATCATGATGACTATAAAAATGATAATGATAATAATGATAATAGTAATACTAATACTGATATCATAATTGTCGCTACTATCATTATTATTGTCACAATTATCATTATCATTTATATCACTATCATTACTGTTATCATTATATAAAAGAAATAACAATAACAAGATAATATCATTACTATCATTATTATTGCTATTATCTTCACTGTCGCTGCTGTTATCATTAATGTCATTATCATTATCTTTATTATTATTATCATTGATATTATTACTAACATTATTATTAGTAGTATTATAATTCTCATAACTATAATTATCATTATTACTATTATCATTATAATCATAATAATATATTATTATGATTATTATTATTCGTATCATGATTTTATTATCTTATCATCATCATTGTTTATATTATTATTACTATTTTTTTTGTTATTACTGTTATCATTATAATGATTATGGTTATTGTTATTACTATTATCATTATTATTACTGCAATTATTCTCATTCTCATTCTCATTATCGATATTATCACCGTTCTCAATTTTGTTACTGATAACTATAATCGATAGAATAACTATAACACATAAAACTGACAACTGTAATCAATAATATTAACACACAATAAAAATAACATTTATCAATATCAACACAATTATAATTGCAATCAAAAATGATAATACAAAATAACAATAACTATAAAATCAGTAAAACTATAATACAATTATAATAACCATTATCAATAACAACATAATAGTAATAACTATAATAAACAATACCAACTATAATAAACAATACTACCTATACTAAACGATATTAACTATAATAAACAATAATATAATAATATTAAACAATAATA